TACTGTACACATGATAATTATGATCAGAACGATCAGATTATTTAGTTCATCTTACAAGCTCGTAAAGCGTTCGTTATCAACGTCTGTATTTTATGGCACTGCATAGACTACCGTATTTGTGATACAAAGCGAACTTACCGCTGCAACTGCTATTCCAAACATCCAGATTCCATCCAGAATATGCCATTATTTATGATGACATTTGCAGCAGTCGTTTTGTTACATCCCTGATTGTTGTACCGCAAAGCACGACAGCAGTTACCGCTATTTGCGCGCGCAGATCCATTACACCGATTTTTTTAGTGACGCGAATAAGCGATATCTGTACATGGGAAGGTTAGCATGCAGCATCTGCAACGCTTCGATCGAGCAATTAATTTTTTATTGGTTCACCGATCAACCACGCAAAAAATGTTTCTGCGGAACCATGGACACCTTTCTTCGCAGAAACCGGCCATTCATGGTTTCCGTTCATATATGTGTATGATGCCCGGTATCTACGACTTTTTAGGCACTGAAATGGATCATACACTGATTACATACTCTGTATTGTAATATTTCGTAATTAACATCAACCCATATGAAGTCGTCTTTCCCAAGGTTCCCATTTAGCAGCCGAGAAAAACTGCGAAAGTTCAACGGGTTTTGACACACTCTATAATTCTGTTAATTAACAAGTTAGCGATATCCTAATGATTTCAGGTAAATTACTACCGCTGACAGTATCGTAATCGCTACCACTACCAGTACCAGGACACGGTAACACTACCACTACCCTGGTACCACTACCAGTATTACAGTACCATTGTCGCTACCACTGAAGTAACAGTGCCGTAACATGCTACCACTACCAGTACCACTAACAGTACCAGTAACATTAAGTAGTACTACCCCGGTCTGTGCACCTTGATCAGTTGAATTAATACTGTCAAAGATTTGTTTCGATGAACGAAAGGTTTTTACCGTTTAGGTTTAACCTGCGCAGTTGCCGGTTATGTACTAAATTACAAATTACGTACTTGTCTGCCTATATCTTCCATGCATACTCCTGTGAGTGCCGTACATAAAGGGTTCTACGCACATTTCGACGACCTAACTATAAGAGAAAGTGTTTTCCTCTTACTATTATTCAGCACCGCATTCAGCACCCTCCCACTCAAAATGGACATTAATTATCCAGGCACTATAGTATTGGTCATGTTACCGGGGTGCGCACTTGCTGATCATCAAAACGATTAACTGTGTTAATTTTCTTTTGAAAAACAAGAATATCCATACAGTATATGCGGAAAAAATCTGGTATGCATATACGAATACCGATGATACTTTATAGAGCTTGTCACCTCCAGAATACCTTATTATTACCCACGAAGGGCTTTTCGAATAAAAGATTACGACAGAACGTATTCTAAACGTATGCATACCTAACAACTCTTTAGAGGATAAAAATAAAAAAAAGCTGTCTAATTTGCGCCAAAGACAGTGTTCGTGAGAATGTTCGCATTTACTCGTTCACCTAAAGTAGTGTAGTAATCTTTAGGCGGGACTGGGACTGGACACGCGTCCGATGAACAAGATAGCGCCAGTTTCGCGGTGCTGTAAGGCGAACAAGAATGGATGGTCAGCTTTGAACACTTTCTTCATATCTTCCGGGAAAAATTCTGCCGACAACAACTCCATTTGCATGCCGGTTGCAGCCGCCGCTTCGGTTCCTTTCTCATTGACCTCTGCAACATTATACATGTATAACCATACAATTATCAAAAAATCGCAACTCCATTTTCTGCAGCCTCCGCCTTACGTTTGTTAATTTATACTGAAGTGAAACAGTTCAAATGTTTTTGTCAATTGCATGTTCATAAACGATTCTTCTTGGTGTACAGAGTACATACCGACAAATGTCTTATGCACCACTTCTGATATCTTCAGCGGTTGGGTGGAAATCCCGCTGAAATCGGCATTATCCTGGAAGGCATCCACAATACCAATTTCTTTCAAAGCAGCATTGAGATGAAAATCACTCTCGATCTTAAATCTCGGCAAGGAAATCTCCACTTGCGCCCTCTGGTACTTGCTGATATCAAAGTGGGTGGGGCGGAGCTTCTTCTCCAGCTCAGCCAGTCCGTCCTTTTTATTGGGCAGAATGAACACCATATAGACAGCTCCGTGCGCGTACGACTTGATCAAGCCGGTAGCATCCACATCCGTCAACGTGGCGAATTTTGCTTCCTCATCAGTCTGCTTCATAAACGGTACATTTTTGTAGGTGTTCCCCTCCCCGAAAAAATCCGCGTTCTGGGTGCTCTCTTGCTCGAATTGATCCTCCCATTCGGCTTTAAAATAAATCGCACTGACCAACGCCAACTTCACGCTCGGTTCAATCTGGCTGAAGAGATTCTGAATTCGATGATTGGTGACACTCTCCACCCACTGGTTGACGTCGCGTGTCGCCTGCTGTGCATTACCCGCAAAATCCGCCTCACCTACAGTTGGAATTAAAATTTAAATTGAAATACAGACTTTTGTACTTTTTTCTGTTACGGCATAATATTTAAAATGTTAATACTATTTAAATATACCCCTAGTATTTGAAAAATAACTTTTGCTTCAAACACTTTCAAATTCTCCAAGGCCAGTTCCATTTTAAACAGATTTGATTTGCAATGTGACATGTAAGGGATTTGAAAATTGTGATTTTTCAACGCAAGCATTACCGAACGTCTTCTGATAGAAATTCTTCAGCACATCCGCGAATTCCTGCTTGACAGTGAAACCCTTCTGCAGATACACGCGATTGGCGATGGCTAAATACGGCGTCTGGCGTGTCCACTCGTCGGGGGGTGTGGCAGGGGCGGTGGTGGGGGCGGTATGGACTTCCAGGCGGGTAAACAACGACATGAAGGCACTGTCAATAGAGGTGTCGTTCATCTTGTCCAGATGGGTGGCTTTGAGGATCTGCTGCTTGGTATTGCCCTTGGCACCCACACATGGACCATCGACAGTGCAGCCATGACGCTAAACGGCGAGAGGAAGCCATTTTCGTTGCGGGGTTTACTGGCAATCAAATTCCCGTACAGATCCAGGGAGAACTGGTTGTTGGCCAAGGAGAATGGGGCGATGACAGCGGCAGCCATTTCGTCGGTGTCTGGTGTGGGTGCATGGTGTGCTCATAATGCTGCCGGGCCGGTGTATATATACTTCTGTTCGATGGAAAAGCAGAAAAATTTGATGTTTTAGATGATAAATGATCGCCAAAAGTGCAAATGCCACTGTACTGCGCGATGCACTGTTTCGCCGTATGCTTCCGGAAGCTTGTTTATTCCATACGCAATAATGTGCCTTAACTTTGTTTGGGTACTGAAGTTCAGGAAAAGTTGTCGAGGCTCGACTCATCGGTTGGTACTGTACAATATTTGCACATGTTGATGAACGTACGATGAGCCATCACTAACCGGATTTTCTACCGGCTTTGTCAGTAAACATGGTAAGTACTTGGACGGAAGCGTATGGATAAATCGGAAAAATGATCTGCATAGAAAGTCTGCAGACGTCGCAAGTTTTTTTATTTAAAAAATGATCAAAATATAATGTTGTGTGCATCTCACGAGGCGCATACCCCAACACTTGATTCTCTGATCAACCTGTGCTTGGTATCGTTAGAATCCTTACAAATTAAGCAATTTTTTTCCAAAAGCTAACTTTTCCCCCAGATAAAGAACTGAGATTTAGAGATCTCTGAGAAACCAACGCACACATGATGGTTGACTTCGATCAGAACGTCAGCCACTACCAGTACCAGTACCATGACATGGTACCACTACCACAACCAGTACCACTACCAGTAACAGAACCATTGTCGCTACCACTAACAGTAACAGTACCCTGACATGCACCCACTACCAGTGCCAGTAACAGTAAGTAGAACCACCCCACACTCCACAGACCGTCACTATACACAAACATGCAGCGTTGCTGGACTACTACGTCAACTTTTCTATTCCAACTGATAAACTTGAATTTCCAGTCACTGACTTGAGTTTCCAGTCATTCGTGAGCAATATTTATTGGGACAATTTATTAAGCGGGTACTTCTAAGTACGTATATAATTCGAATTCGAGCACTGCGTATCTCGTGCTACGAGTATATAGTGGACAATGGCCTAATAACCATCTGTCAAGCAAATTATGAATACCTGCACGAGTACGGTGAGTAATAGTATACGCTGCAGCTAGAACGCGAGTTATATTGTTGTTTGGTTTGAGCAACTAATTATTGTAACTTGTTTTATTTGTTTGTTTAATCAGCTTAACGTCTACAACGATCAGGAGAAACCTGCACGAGGTTGTAGACAAACGTAGAAGATCAGCTGCCACAATAATGGGCAGCCACTTTTAACAGTTCTTTGAGATATCGCAATAACTTAATAAGTAATACTCATTTACGGCATTTAAATACGAAAACAAAAGAGATCACACTTCGTCGTCATATGGATCAATAGACCTATTCTCTAACAAAAACAATGGAGTCATCAATAGACCCATTCTCTGACAAATACTTGTTAATAACCTGTTGCTTCGAAGTTTTCTTTAATAATTGCTCTCCTTTATTCTTCCTTTATTCCCTTTGTGTTTCGAAATTCGTTAAGAAATGTTAAGTCACCGATTCTCCGTGACCGGAAATAGATTCTGCACCGGACTGGGCGATTTTGCGGGAAATGGTGGCCGCCTGCAGGCGCTTGCTGGACAGCAAATGATAACGTTTACAGCTTCCTCTGACGTCAAGGTCGCCCTTAGAGTACAGTTACTACAGTACTTCTACAATCACTGCAGACTGCAGAGTGTACTCTGTACACTTCCAAGTTCCACCAAGCCACAGATAAATCATAAGATTGATAACTTCATTGATTTATAATCCTTTCGCACATTTCTGAAATCTTGTTTGGCTCAGAATTCCACTGGATTAGGACTTGATTTTGCGTTTCATGGCAAATGATTCCACCATGTGTCTAAACTCGCCACCGAAGACCAGTGAGGCTCCTGCCATTACTCTCAGCGCAGAACGTCGTGGCGCTGTTGGGGTGCTTGATCGCATGAAGCGCATGCTAGCCAGGGGAGAACTCAGTGACTTGCAGTTCGTCGTGGGACGCCGATTTGGTACTGAGAAAACGTTCCCCGCGCACAAGTATATTTCATTACAAAATTTATGAACTGAATTACTGATGCATAATAACTGTAACTATTTGCGATTAGGCTGTGTTGGGAAGTATCGTGAAATAACTGTTCTGCAGGAATATTGTGTGCAACAGCAGCGATGTGTTCAACGCGATGATTTGTAACGGTGTGGCTGAATGTTGCCCTTTGGTTATTCACTTTCCTGACATTCCTTCAGAAGCCTTCGCCAATCTGCTGAGTTATGTGTATACTAATTCGGTGGAGGGCATCAACGAAGAAAACGTCTTCCCAACACTGCACTGCGCTGACAAATTCGGGTTTTCCTTATTGGGGGATATTTGCTGTGAATACATTATCAAGCATGTGAATGCGGATACCTGCCTCACCACGCTAGAAAAGGTTAGATTTAAAAAAATGTTTAAAATGTTTAAAATTCCATTAAATGAAACTAAAACTGATGGGTTGATACTTTTATTTCCATAGGCCAGCCGTTGGAGTCCTGACCACGCTAAGATTGTGGAGAAGTGCTTGGAGATCGTGGACACTTTTAGTAACGAAATTCTACGGTCGAAGCAGTTCAGCAGCATTGGACACGACAGTCTGCAGATGATTCTGCAGCGTGCATCTCTTTCCGCAAAAGAAAATATTGTATACACGGCAGTGAACAGGTAAGTACCGCTCGAAAGTATCAAGCAAAGATGAGTTTCTGACTTTCTGTTAAAGAATGCGGCGAGCGCCGGAAATAGTCTCGAATTTCATTCGTCTTAGTCGTCTAAAATACATTTATTCTGAAGTTTTCGTGAAAATTATATAAATCCGATTTTAAAATGTCTCCCAGACAAATGAGATTTTTTACTAAAGGTGGGCGCTGCAGAATTGTGAGGAACGCAACTTGGAACCGTCCGCTGCCAATCGGCGCGAAGTGCTGGGTGCGGCGCTCTTTCTCGTCCGTTTCCCGCTCTTGACGGATGCTCAACTGGCCGCTGGACCGATCCAGGTGAAAAGTTGTAAAAAAGCAGTAATGATTTCTTTACCACTAACTGATTAAGACTGCATTCACTACTTGGGTGGTTTCCCTGGCGTATTCGCAAAGCCCTTTTTATCCTAACTGTAAAGTGTGTTTCGGACCTGCCGTTGATTTAAAGTCCTGAATCTGAATCAAAAATCAAAAATCTTGAATCTTTAAATGAAACTTAATCAAATTTTGAAAAGCAAAAATTGCTAAGCAGCCATAAGTATGACGGCTGCGAAACTGCAAGCGAAACTCTAAGTGGTTTTGAATCATTGTTAGTTAATAAATATACTGTAAGCACATTACTTGGTCATTTGATTAATTCATATTGGTTGCGTAGAGTGGACTACTGCTGCCCACCGAGCTGCGTGATATCTTCCTGCACAAGCACGCCCCGGAAAAGCTAACATTGCCCTTCTCGACGGAGCCGCGCGGCTACAGGTCCAACACCACATCGGGCAAGACGTTTACGAAACTCCAGAAGGGGACTGTGACCAAAGCTGCAGCGGTGACTGGTACTCATGGGAAATTACCGGTAACTGAGATGTCAGTTTTTTCCTAAACTGTATTTTATGTATCAGCCCGTTGAATAACATCTTGTGTACAGGTACCGGCGTCGCATCATGAGCGCATGCTGGCGCTGGCAAAATTGGCTAATAGGCTGTCCAGCGATGCCGACAGTAGCACAGCTAATACAGCTGCTGCGGCGAATATTAATCACCCCGCAGAGCCGTACTATGGAGACACGGTATACAACCCGAGCCCCGTCAGATTGAAGGTCGTGTACGGGCGGGACGGTACCTGGGAGGCTGACACGCAGTGTTGGGAATAGACGGTACAATCTGCGGGTCTGATGTTTGCTGATAAATTGTTCCAGGAATGGAAGACACGACCACCCACGGACTGTTCAAATAAGTTCCTTTTTTTCGCCTACTCTCAGATATGGAATAGGCATATCATCATGAACCCAAAGCTGATATTGTTCGGATTTGTGTATTCTTCTTTTATTCTTGCATGGATATTAGCCATTAGGGATTATTTTCGTAATCACATGATTCACATCTTAGTATCTTACGTGCAGCAGTGCATATGAACGACTGACACTGAGCGTGGAGTACGTACAAATAGCTTCCATCGGATTTGCATTTTGAAATAAACTTTTCCTGCCTGTCACACAGACACGTAAAGTACATATTCGTATGGTTAGCACCAAATAAACCCTGCCAACAGAAGCTTCGTTTAAATAGAACGGAAATGCGGTAGTAATATTCACATTCTGTTATCCATGTACCGTGATGTACGGAAACGTTGTTTGCATGCAGTATGCAAAAACCAGCTAGCAGTTGTTACGCACTATCTTTCGAGAAGGATTTCCGACTTGGTAGAAGTCCATTATAATCTTATACAGTGCAAGAAACGGTTTCTCGGTCTCCTCTGCATTTCTTGTGATTGGCGGCCGCTGCAGAAAATCCAACAAACCGGAAAATGGTAATTGCCTTCTAATGTGTAAATTTTGACTGTAAAATTAATTAGTGTACCCGCGCTTGCATTAAGTATTTTGTTATCGTGATGGCTATTGCCTAATAAAATATAATTCATTCGTTTTAGTGTTTTGGACTGTGAGGAGGAGTGGCTCCTCCGTACAACTGCGCTCGCTGTTAGGTTGTTTTGCTGTTCTGCTGTTATTTTTCTCTATCTACCAGATCTTCCTTCAATCTGGTAGTATTCGTTTACTATGAGTAGGTTTCGTCGTCTGAGCTGTATGCTTTTTCCTTTTGCCCAGCAGCACTCTGGTGCGGTGACCTTTGGTGTGTTCTATGTGGGACGGACATTAAAGCGCAGTGTGTGGGCGTTCAGTTTCCGTTTCTGTTCGCCTACTACCCTAGTAGGAGTAGGGGAGAGCTAGCCGCTCATTCCCTGCTAGAGAACGGTTGACTATATTGGAAGCTGTCCACACGCGAGCAGCACGGCGAAATCGAACGCGCTACGTGGCGCAACCACTTTATCATCCGCAAGTCTTTATTTTTTTCCACATCACATTAACGAAGTAACTTTTACTCTTTACAGAACTTTTGCAACGACGTCGTTTTTGGTATATTTAAAAATAAGTCTGTGATGGGTTGGAAAGTGGTCAGTACAAACAGTCCAGCAAGCTTTGCTAATATACACGCTACAAAAGAACTCCTTCTTTTATTACGCAAGGTACTGTGCCCTGTAATGTTGTACTTGTGTATTTGCAGTTACAGGTTTTCCTTTTTATAGCTCAACAGAATGGAAAGCGTCAACCTTTGCCACTTCTTCGGACTGGCCATAACAACATCCATATGTGGCATTTACTGGATGTTCGCAGTGATGGAAGGTCTCACACAAGGAGCTCTGCCGGACGTGTTCGATAGCACTGTTATCAGGGATCCAACAACGCAACGCTCCTTAGTGTTTGACTATATTGAAGTGCGAAAGCGTAGCTAACTATGTGCAAGCGATGATGAAAACAGGCATGCAATCCTTTTTGCAGGCAGTCCGCTATGTTCATTCTTCATCATTACAATACCATGGGCGAATCAGTGTTCTGGCTTGCTGGGTGGATTAGCATTTCACCCTTAAACTGGCGCACTTGGGTTCGGACAGAATTCAACATAACTTGTGCAAGGCCAACCGAGATTTGACCAAAAATTTATGTCAGAATGTTTTCGGGGAATCTATATACTGGTCGCCACCCGGAATTACAGCCAGCGCTGACAACAAGTCACAGCAAATGGTTGATATTTTCTCATCGGGTCTGGTCATCTACGACATACGGACCGCGGGAAACATCTTCGCAAAACTTATAGCAGCTGCACAAGGTAAGCTCTCTGAGCGGCGGAAGTCTTAGTCTGAACCGGCAAAACCTTTTTTCGATCCCAAACACTTTCACCCTGAATTTATGGTAATGAGGCTGGAATTGAATTTTCGTCAGAACGGATATTTCCAGGGTGTAAATCTGCATTACCACGCTTTTCTCGGGTGTTATCGAGATTCAGCTGCAGCCTGCAGGGTATATCCACCATGCAATCTCGGTGGGCGTTATTATTGTTCCCGTTTAAATTTGCAGAATTTTCAAGTCTTCCGAAAATTCACGACTTTTGCTTCTATGCGCCGGGCTTTCCAGACCTACTTCGATTATGTGTCACAGTGACAGCCCAGATCCGCTTCGGCGGCCTGATGCAGACAGACTTCGCCGTGAGGTGGTGCAGATTAATCCTATACTGGCTCCCGATAAGGAAAAGTACGCTTTTTGGCAAAATTTACAACAGATTGGAGCGTTATGCAGTGGAGTTAGAAGGTCAAGTTGCGACTAGAACCCGTGAGCTGATGGAGGAAATGGACAAATGCGATGCACTCATCTCCCAGTTTCTTTCTAAGTACTGTTTTTGTAAATCAGTTTTGCAATCCAGGTTTTTAGTGAGTGTTTTTCATGCAGATCAGTGTCGAAGCAGGTGCGCGCCGGCGAAAAAGTTTCAGCTGAATTTTTTGAGTCTGGAACGGTTCTGTTCGTTGATTTATATGGATTCGCCGACTTTATCAATAGTGGTTCGCCTGAGATGACGATTTCCTTGATCTCGGCCACGGAAGCTTTTATCGATAGACGATAAGCTGTCCACGGAGTGCGAGGTGTACGAAGTAGAGGCAGTTATGGATTCGTTTATGGTATTCACCGATTAGGTTGACTAATTTATGGTTGCCCACAGACAGACACATATTCGTGTGCAGGTTGCGAGTGGACTGCCAGAGCGCATCGGAAACAACCACATCGAAAGGATGGTGGGATTTGCGATTAAGCTAATGGAGGCTGCCTCAGCTGACCTTTATGTTGAATTTACAATTTAAGATTGGCATGTATTCCGGTAAGCAAGGTGGTTTTGTGTATGGTCGCTAGTAAAAGTTTTGCGTCGATGACAACTGTTTTGTAGGTCCATGCGCCGCCGGACTTATGGGACTGAAACGGCCACGCTATTGCCTGTAAGTAAGCTCCATTATAGGATTACTCTTTGTTAAACATTCTCTTTGCGGAATTGTTCAAGTATTTGAGCAAGTATTATTTCGAATATTACGTATTTGAAAGCACTGGAAGAACGACTTTGGAGCCAAAATACCGAAGTAACAATCAAGCCAAAGTTCTCAGAATGGTTTTTGTGACAGATACGGTGACACTATTAACATGGCCTCCCGAATGTGCAAGCACGGCTTGCCAGGGCCCAGGACACATTCATTTAAGCCCACACACCAGGCACTTCTGGAGAACTTCCGCCAGTTCGCTGTCGAGTCAAGAGGACTGCAAGCGATAAAGGGAAAAGATGCCATGACAACATACTGGCTTCTTCTACCATCACACTAACGGTAACGGAAAGCTGAATAATTCTCGAAGAGATGCAGCTTCGAGACGGTCTGGAATTGTCGGGTAAATTCCCCGAATCTGATGGTTCCGGAGAAAGTGTTCATGGAGTGGAACGTTGCCAGCTTTAAGTTCCGTAGAAAAATCCCTTTTATCTCCTAATCCCGGTTATGGAGTATATTGTTGCATCACAAAAATAATACTGGCACCGATACAAGTCGATTTATAGTTTGTTAGTATTTCCTAATTTTGTATTCGTTTATGCATTTTGTATTTGCTACTTGTACAGTACATACAAATTACCGCCCTACCCATACATTAACAATTGCTACAAGGTTTGGGAGTGAATGAGTCGGTACTTGGCAGGCAAAGAAAACTGCCACCGCTGTTCGAAATACCACCACCAAAACCGAGCTCCCGCCGCTGTCCAGTCCACCGGTGGTTGTTTATAAATTTTTTTGATAACCAACATCATCGATTAACAGCCCGACATCGAGGCCTTTAACCCGTTGACGGGCATTGGTGTCTGGAAACGACAAGAGGTTTGATTTTTTCCAGCGATCGGCAACAGTTATTCGTTTGTTCCATAACGTATTAAGCAAAGGGAGTTTAAAGCAGCAATAAAAACACAATTTGAACTTGTGCCTTAAGTTAATTAGAACAATAGGTGCGCGAAAATCGCTAATTTTGAACTTTCTGACCTCTCGTAGGTCTTGCTAATTAACTAATTAGTGGATGAATAATTAAACCCGAGATAAATCAACCAGGTACAACTGGCAACCCTTTATTCAAAATGTCTTACACAGAATCTAAAGTTGAACCAGATGACCACAGTCCCTCAAAACGTGTGTCGTCTGCAACACCATTACCCATGAAGGGTTGTGAATACACGGGCGGAGTGCACTTTCGACAGATATTTTCATTACGTAAACGGAATAAGTTACTGTCGGTTCGGACGCAAAACATGCCATGTGGTTTGGTTGTCGAAAGCTGGCAGAAAAAATGGGGTTGCTGAACGGCACCCCGGGCGGTCGGAATGGTGGTCCTGATGCGTTAGTCCTGACTGTAATAAGTGTAATTCTACCGCCAGTGTACGTACTACGTAACTGTAAATGGCTGCACAACCTGCACTCTGCTGCTCTCTGCCTTCGATATGGTACCGAATACCGCTTGGGCAAGCGAAGCCTGAATTTAAAGAAACAGGCGAATACAGGTTCTGACCAGTCTCGGGCGACTGCAAATGTAATGACCACCTTAGTGGTGTTGACTACGATAGCATGTAGGTTACATCGGCCGATAATGTGTTAGAAAAGTGCGAATGACCACTAATATTTGGTTCGGCTGTCGCCTTTGCAGCTGGATTATACCACTTTCCCATTCCCACCACCGGCTATACCAGGAAACGTGCAAGTCCGAATGATGCACGCAGTGTAAAACTGTCGGCCTGTTTAAAAAAATAAAATGCAACAAGTGCAATGTTAAATTGCACATAGGCTGCTTCTTGATGTAAATGAGAGGGATGAAAGTTTGCGAAGGAATATTG